CAAGAAGTATCCCAAGATGCCCGCAACTGTTCGCGCATATTTTCCGTACGAGGATAAACAATTGCTCAAGATGTTGTTTTATGAAAGTAGTGAGCATCTACACAGGAATATTTTAAAAATACAAGTGTTAAAGGAGGTGACCGAGGCATTGCACAAGACCAATCCAGATCTATTTGAACTTTACGAACTATTTTGTCTTGACATGGGCGGAATCGAAGTTTTTTCGAGCCGTAGAATGATGAATTGGCTACAATTCGCAAAAAAGTGCAAACCACCCGTATCGCCGATACCGGTGTTGCTTAAGAAAAATGGTTTTGGGGAAAAAGATTATGATAAGCTTTATGATTTGGTTAGTGAAGCACCTGGAAGTAAATCCACGAAGGAGATTCAAAGGCTTTTACAAATCGAGTCCAAGAAAGCAAAAAAGAAATAATCGGAAGATGCGCATGCTTGGCGAATACTTCGTCTAGGCGCCGATCGTCCTGTGCACGAGCAAGTTCCTTCGACATGCCGCAAACTTTGGTAGATGAAAAGTAGATTTTTTGAAATCTAATGTCCATAATAGTTGCTTCATTCGTTTCGCCATACAGTCAGCGTACATTGTTATTTGCAGGTCACCTAAATTATAGTATGCAGTACCTCTTTAAGAACCTGCTCAAGCACGTGATAAAGATTCAGTAGAAGCTTCAGTCGGTGAAAAGTAAGTAAAGGCTTCTGCTTGTTTGCAAACCAAACAGCTATCTTTAACGTTGCCAATAGGAGCAACCTGACATCACGAATATTAATCAAAGAATGTAGTATATATGTAACAATGCAAACATGTAAGATAGTGTAGCACTTTCCACTTGATGATTCATCTGCATGCGCCGTCAAAGACTCAGCAGGAAAAGCCGTCTTGTTTGGCAACCCGTACGTTTTTCTTCACCCCGTTATGCTAAGAACAAATGTTGGAACAAGGGTCAGTTTTCGAGAACGCAACTCTTCTGTTATCCTGTGCAAATTATCACAGAGCCAGAAGTGCGGCTCTGAAGGTTTTGGAACAAGTTGCTGATTCGTCATCACAATCGCCGATTCGTGAGTTATGCATTCTTTTCAGGAGCACGAATTACTCTGGTATATTGCTATCAAGCCAAAGCCAAGCACGAGCGGTGGCTTGCTGTTTTGAGCTTACATAAACCGCGGCGACTGAGGTGATCACACACGAACAGTAATGTTCGCTCTGATCAGAATTTTTTTGTCAGGTTCGAAGGGAGATTTAGAGCAGACTAAAGTCATGTCAATTCGGAACTAAGTCAGCCTAGGGTCTCAAGAAGTTGAAAGCCTTCGTCGGCACGGATCCCGTATTTGGTGATATCTCCAAATAACAAATTATCATCACGAAGGATCTGAACGACGGTCTTCTCCGCCTACTACAGTCTCATCTGGGGTTAAAATGAGCAGCATTTGTCGTTTGGACTGACCTTTTCCTGTACATAAGTTTCCTTCACTAGCGCGACCCAATTGGCGTCTTAGTTATGTCGTGTCATGTAGTAGTAATGCGACTTCTTTTATCTGCATACGACCTATGTGCACGTTGATTGGCAGCTCCATTGAAGATTCGTTTATGTCTCGTATACCTCGTTGAACCTATGACGTAGCACACAATAATTAATGTGAATAAACAAACAACGTTTCACCGTTCTTGTCAAATGTAACAAGCGTGATCAAGGGCACGTTGGTTTCCACAAAGCGTCAACATGATTCTACGTGTACGTGGCTCTCTCCAAGCTCTCATAGATTATTTAGCTTACCATGTAAAGAAACGTTTGAAGAAGTTTTCTCACACGAGTGTCAATTGCTCAGTTGAAACTCGATGATCTGTCTATGCAGCCAACACAGGGGAATTACAGTCGCATGGCTTGCGTTCAAGGTATGTTACTGTTATATCGCACCTTATAACGTGGGTGCGCCAATATTTAATTGTTACGGAAGCAAGTACTATGGTAAGATTCGTGCAAAATAATGTTGGGTCAAAGCATGCGCTTCCTAGACGCATTGCTCCAGTTATGTATACAGCTACCTGCATAGAGGAGTGACATAAGAAAAGGTCGTGAGACGGAAGATGTTTCGTGCTCGATCATTAGCGCGGAGTTGTCTCGTATTATCGACTCAACCCTGGCAACCACATGCCAAGGTCATCGTCCCGGGGTAACATCGTTCATACGGTCGAATCCCCTAGTCCTTCCGGATAACGTACGGCTGTTGTCTCTTGCAATCTGTGGATCACCGTCGACCTTCCTTTACTAGTAGCGGTAGCATTGGCGATAAAGACAACAATGACAGTTCTGGGCGCTTTAGGTCGCCGTTGAAGCAAAACGTAGCCGAATTGGCTATTAGAACACCAAGTTATGAAGCCGATTGATTCTGGACAATAGCAAGAGCAGGATCCATCAACAGCAGCAACAAAAATTGCTATATTTCTACGTGGCCGCGGTGCCTTGGACTTAAACATGACACTGGGTCGTTGCTTGTGAATAAACTCTAGCAAGAAATGCACCGGCACAGTATTTCTTCCAGATATCAACATCGTCTCTGCACGATGTTCACTCGAGACGTGGTGTTCTCGGTACGGTTATCACAAGCGATTTTTCATGTGCTTGTACTTGCGACTGATCATAGTGCGACGCGCTTATTTGCCGTTTTCCAGCTGTGCACGGATTCGGATGCATACTTCATCTTTGACTACCTACAATAGCTGAGGCTATTAACCGATAGGATGCATCAAGTGAGAATGCTGATAGTGTCGTGCCGTTACTTTCACATCAGCAGCTGAACGCCAGCTTCGACTTCAGCAGCAACTGAGGCTGAAATAGCGCAGGCGTGTGACTCGGAAGATGGTCCTAAAGCAGCTGATAATAGGAACGACACGCCGCTTCCAATTCTTGGGTAACAGAATGTCGTATTCTTGCTGACGATATACAAATCGTCCCAAGAAAAAAGCGATGTTGCCGCATCGGTGCACGTGAAGCGTAACATTCCGCCTCGCATCGCGGACCTCGACATTAGCGCTTCGTGCTGGCATCTTCACCTTCGTGTTGATGGGATCAACAAATGCTCATGCTGAACATGGTAGCAATCTATTGCTTATCTAGCGAGCACGTGCTGTGTAAAGTTGAATGTTTGCCTTGTCGTGTAGGGCATGTTTTTCGCTCAACATACACAACCGTGATCGCTATATCATCAACGACATGGAAGCTAGAAGATTCAAATGGCAACATGAGTAACATACTACATGGGACTGAAGCTCATTCGTGCAGTGATCAAGCAAAATGTAGCGTGCACAAGGTTACCGTCCAAAGGGCTCGCATTGACGGGAAAGCGATATTCATATATGGATGATTTACATATGAGTCACCACAGTGGTCCAACGACGCTGGCAATCGAAAGTTCTCCATGTAGTCAAGTGAGCAGCACTATGGCTCATTTTGAGATACAATCAAACGGGAGGTGAACCAACGTGGAGCTATCATGGACGACAACTTAAGCTGCATCCTATGCAGCTCATAGCTCTGACTACAAGATGTCACGTAAAAGGAGGTATGACTTGGTTTATAGCTCTGGACTTCCTGCAGCGTTCAATAACATGTTGACGCAGTGTATTTGTGCTTGTCATGCAGCCTTCTCAGGTAGCACTTTTTGAGTTTATTGGATGTGACTTGATTCAAACTGACAGCAAGTTGGATGTGATCTTCCAGCGCCTCAAAATTTCCTCTTGAGCATGAAACGAGACGGCTTTTAATCATCATGTTCAGGTGAAGTCAAGTGTAAATGTCAACTTGATGGGAACAGCGGTTCTGACGCTAAGCTTATGTCACTAGCTTCCGTGACTCAAAACAAGTGTGTGGGTTTTGTACGATGGTAAAGTTTACAACTTGGCTCTTGTTGGAGAATCCCAGACAACAGTAAAAATGGACAAACGACAAGTGGCAGGACGCCGTAACCAGGATGTTGGACCGCTAGACTTCAACCTCCTGTATGCGACGCGTAGCTGCCAGCTATCTGTGTACTGCGAAGGCGTTTGAGTATAAGAACCAGTCCTTGAAGCAGCTTAACGCCTCCGACAAGCGCTGTTACATGCCGATAACTCAGGTCTATCAGATGCAAGCTTGCAGAATCGTGTTCAACGCTGGCTCAAAATTGTCAGAATCAAGCTTGAAACTGCCAGTCACTGGTGATCCCAGTGAATTTTGAAGATTGCGCATGTCCAGAAGAACGTTATGAAGAAGTGTATGAACCGTTGCATGGACATGCACGTGAGTGTAATGCCCAATATCAGCTCGCGTATTGAGAGGGTGCTGGTTCAGGTCAAGAAGATGCGGCAATAATGAACTGTGCAGCAATATAAAGACGCGCAAATGGATCAATCGGTGTTAATGTCTTCTTGTTACTTGCATAAGAGCTATAAAAATTCCGGAAACGAGACAAGACTCTTCGTCCTTGCTTGTTCAATTCATTCATTCTGCTTTCATAGCTTACAGGGATGAGTGATATCATTGTGTATGACTGTATCTGTTATCACCTGTGTCACCACCATTGCAGTGGTTACTTTGTTTATATAGCCTCCAGCTTAGCACGCTGATCTTTGCGCCGACGTAGTATCCAACCGTAACACCACAAGCCACAGATCGGACCCCTGGCACTACCGATACAAGTCTGGAGTCACATACAATAGTGATTCATTCCCGGGACAGCCTTCTGACACAACGTGCAGTACCATGTTGTTTCCCACCTTGGTCCATGAAGTCTTTCACACCAGCGAAAAGTGCCACAGCGCGTATATGAGTCAAACAACTTCCTTGGTATTGAACTTTTGAATACAAGAAAGAGTACGATGCAACAGTGCGTCAGCCACTTGTCGTACGTTCAATTATGAATAGTAAGAGACAAATATCCTCAAAGCCGATGTAAAGTGCCAACACTATAGTAATATATGACGATCCTTTGAATGCTGGTAGCAAAACATGATGACTCCACAAGGCCGATCAGCGACGGAATTGGTTGTGTCTCTGGCACGAAAATTGCATACCTTTCGTTTCAGGAATGGACCGCTAACGCATGTCATGAAGGTCCCATCAAAGCCGATCACTTCTCTTGCCAGCACTGAGAGTCATCGCGTCTCAAGGTTAAGACTCTTGCTTATTAACAAATATTCTGAGCTTAACCTAGTACTTGATCTTGTTCCACAAATCTCCAGCTTCACTATGAATTCGGACAACCAAAGCTATGCTGGTAGTCGAGTAATATCCCTTCGAGGTGTTGAGTGGATGGTCTCTGCAATTAACGGAGTATCAACTAAGATCGCACACTCGATGCTCGTTAGCGGGAATACAATGACGTTGCTCCAATTCCTGCCCACTGCAGTCGTCAATGCATTTAACACTCATCCTCGAATGCGAGCGCTTCAAATTCAAGACCAACTATTTGCGGCGGAGATCCAGCCTCCAATAACCCCGGACAACCTCACCAACTTGCTTCGAGTGAGGATGCTGTCACCAGCAGACTATGGAGACGGCACCCCAACGAGCTGGCAAGTTTTTGTGGAGAAGGAGTGTAGTGTTGGCTTCGACCGCCATAGTCAGTTCCCGTTCTATCTGTCGGTGTGGGTGGCTAAACGCAAGGACACCGCTCGCCTCACTCTCTTCTCGGACCAGTACATGTCCGACGGATTCTCGGGTGTCGTCGTTCTCAACTTCATCCTGGAGCAGGTATCAAAACTTGCTAGGCAAGTTGTTGCGCAGCATCAAACGTCAAACATGTCGGCTGTCCAGGAGTATCCACTACGTCCGTCACTCTATCGGATGTGGCTCAAGAAGATTACATGGATCAAGCCTCTGCTTAGGGGTACTAACGCCATATTAGGTCGACGCATGTTTCGCGGAAACGTGCGCAAGTTCGCATCACTGTTGCCGGCTCGAAAGGACCAGGAAGATTTTGCAGTGCCTCCAGTGACAAACAGTACTAGTGCCTTGTTTGCCGACGGGGATGGTAAATGCATGCGAAGAGCTTTGGTTCGATGCAAACAGGAGAGTGGAACTCTGGATGGTGTCGTAGTTGTCGTCATGCTACTCGCGTTCTATCGCGTACGTAATGGCAAGGAACAAGGCGGGCGCTGCAACCCTTTTCGAATCATGCTGGATGTCGACTGCAACATGCGTCAACTCGTGCAGCAGCCTGCAGAAGAAGACCAAGTTGGACTATTTACAGCCACTACTACCCTCGACTGGCTTACTTTAGAAGGTGTTGATATGCTAACCACGCGATTCTGGGACTTGGCAAGTCGTGCAACGCAGGAGATCAATGCTAAACTTAAAAACACAATGGCAATGGCGCAATCCACCATCACAGCTGACCAGAATCTCAACGCTCAGATGAATGCGTCTTTTCTCAGGAACATACGTGTTGCTCATTCTATCACGTCCGATGTCAAAGTTGCTGAAGTGATCATATACCCGTTTGAGAAGCACCACTCGCTCACAGCTTCGTCTGACACAGATATACGACGCAGTCTGTTCTTGGCAAATGAAGCCCATCAATCGGTGATGTCACCGAATGGAGCAGGAAGTTTGACGAAATCGCGGCGGCTAGATAGCGCAAAATCAATTCCAAACAATGTGATCTCTATCGAGAGTTTGCACGTGTACAAGGCCCTGCCTCATCTCGCTCCGTCTGTTACAATTTTTCTGTCATCGGTAAACGCATTTGCCTATTCCATGGCGCACAAGATTGAATCTGATGTGGCGAACGACTTATTCACGGCATTCGTGTTGATTTGCGAAAGTTTGGGTGGTATTCAAAGCGACGAAAACCTAATGGATATTCTCGGTCGGCTGGACGAGTGAGACGGAGAGCGTATTTGTTAGTTTGACAAGAAGATGCTCATTCGGTTGGTATGGTTGGTTATCAGAGCACATCAACCTGAGAAAGCCGCAGTACACTACCGCAGGTAAAGTAGCAAATAACATTTTGGTATTTGTACATCTCACTCGTTGTAGACAGCGCTGACAGATAATCGAGCAGGTTACAGCTTATGATACAGGTAAACTAATCGTTACCCCATAGTGCAATTGCATGTATCCTAATAAGACGCATTCGACGTCGTATACATCTTCTTTACCAAGAATATCAACCAAAACTGCTCAATAGTAGTGTCACTAGCACCTTAACGGAATCTTTTGCTTAACACGATGGTCATCAGTCTCGTCAATGGCACCATATCATAGTTCCAATCACCTTCTTTAGCCTACATGTAGCGTTGTTGCTTCCTCCTAAAACTAAAGTAACTTCTACCAGCAACTCTTGACGGAGATATGTAGACAAGTACGTTACGATACTACACTTTACAATGGGTTCGTAGCTGCAAGTATACATTATATAGATAGTTTCTAATTCAGGAGAATGCGAAGAGGTGTTGTTCGTCTACGGGACAGTGTGGTTATGTTTGATACTCGTCCCATAATAATCTCGGCCAAAGAGTGAAACGAGCTGCTATACCTATTGTCCGAACAGTACGTGAAAATACATGACTATGACAGTCTTTGACGGATATTATAAAGACTATGACCATGCCCGACAAGAGGCATTCCAAGCCATTGATGAGTACAAGCACACTTCGAATTCCAGTACGTGAATGATTCCATTTGATATTGCAGAGAATGGATTACGTCTTACCTCTACTTTGTATTACGCAGCTGAGCGTGAACACTTGGCGGTGACTGCAAAAAGTAACATTGATGAAGTGGAGCGATATGTATGAACGAAGATGAACATTTATGGCAGTGATATGGTTCTTACGGATTTTCATACTGAACATGTCCAAACTTTTTTAAAGGCAGCAGTGGGGAATTTTGGACAATGAGCGGAAGCTTGATCCAGCAATACCGAGTGAGTGAGGAAGGCTAATTAGGTTGTAAAGCTCTTTCATTGAGGAGGAAAATGACAGTACTTAAAAAAGAAGTTCCGGCTAATACCTGTGCCAGCAGCCGCGGTAATACGGGAGGAGCGAGCATTATTCGGAATGATTAGGCGTAAAGGGGTTGGGATCCAAGTTGGTAATTCCTGTTGGGAACTCTACTGTCTTGAACATGGTATACAACCAGATGGTCAGATCCCAAGTGACTCTAGTGCCATGGGTGATGATTCCTTCTCTACCTTCTTCTCTGAGACAGGATCAGGTAAACACGTACCCCGTGCCGTGTTTGTAGATTTGGAGCCTACCGTCTGTGATGAAGTACGAACGGGCACATACCGTCAGTTGTACCACCCCGAGCAAATTATCTCGGGAAAAGAAGACGCTGCCAATAATTATGCACGTGGCCATTACACTATCGGCAAAGAGGTCGTGGATCAGGTACTAGATCGTGTGCGTAAGCTTGCAGACGCCTGTACTGGTCTTCAGGGCTTTATGGTATTCAATGCTGTTGGTGGCGGTACTGGTTCAGGTCTTGGCTCACTGCTTCTCGAGCGTTTATCGGTCGACTATGGTCGTAAGAGTAAATTAGGCTTCACAATCTACCCGTCGCCACTGGTGTCATCAGCTGTGGTGGAGCCATACAACTCGGTCCTGTCTACACACCACTCCTTGAGCATACGGATGTGGCTATTATGCTGGACAATGAAGCTATCTACGACATTTGCCGTCGTTCGCTGGACATTGAACGTCCCACGTACGCCAACTTGAACCGGCTGATTGCTCAGGTGATCTCATCTCTGACTACGTCACTGCGCTTCGATGGCTCGCTGAACGTGGATATCACCGAGTTTCAGACCAATTTAGTGCCGTACCCGCGCATCCATTTCATGCTCAGCTCGTACGCGCCCGTGATTTCTGCTGAGAAAGCTTATCACGAACAGCTGTCGGTAGCTGAGATTACCAATAGTGCATTTGAGCCAACCTCTATGATGGCCAAGTGTGATCCGCGCCACGGCAAGTACATGGCCACATGTCTCATGTACCGAGGTGACGTTGTTCCGAAGGACGTGAACGCTGCGGTTGCCACGATCAAGACCAAGCGTACGATCCAGTTTGTGGACTGGTGTCCGACGGGCTTCAAGTGCGGCATTAACTATCAGCCGCCATCGGTAGTGCCGGGTGGCGATCTTGCTCGCGTGCAGCGTGCCGTATGCATGATCTCGAACACGAGCGCTATTGCTGAGGTGTTTTCTCGCATCGATCACAAGTTTGATCTGATGTACGCGAAGCGTGCGTTCGTGCACTGGTTTGTTGGTGAGGGCATGGAAGAAGGCGAGTTTTCGGAGGCTCGTGAGGACCTTGCTGCTCTGGAGAAAGATTATGAGGAGGTATCAGCTGAGACTGCCGAGGGCGAAGGTGAGGATGAAGCCTTTGGTGAGGAATACTAAGTTTCCAAGTGTTCTGATTGAGTAAGAACATGACAGTTGAGTAGTCCTCGTGTATATTTGTTTCCTTCTGCTTTGACATGTTTTTGAGACCAAATAATGCATACGTAAGATGAACATCTCTGGCTGTCTCCGACTGACGCTTGTGGAAGACCGACCCTAAATCGTTACTCGTTGACCTGAAAAAAGACAATCTTGTAGTAGATCACGAAACCACTCATATTGTGTATTCCCCTTTTCCTCTTCATGCAAGTAAACTCATTGTCAGCTGAAATTGTGGTTGGATCCTTGCGATATGGCAGATGTCTGTTGCCTGCCGTGCTCGCGATCTCTGGTGTAAATTCATGTGTGGAGATCAAGGAGACTATTTGCAGGCATGTTGGTCACTAGTTTTTCGTTCATAGAAATATACATCTGCACGAAAGTCGCGGATGCTGTATTCACGGACAAAGAGCGTTCTTTAATAGTTAACGACGTCTAGTTCTCCGTGAAAGATAGGATGATTGCTGAAGTGTATGGTGCAGCACTAATCAAATCTTTCGTGTCCTTTAGGTCTCCGTTATGTGTTGCTACAATCCAGTTGACTCAAGGGCGATGAGCGTGCTGTTGGCTTCGCGAACGAGATCCGAGCATTCATGGAATCATCAGGTCAGTGCAATTTGTCCAGAGCAACGTGGTGGTTGCATCACTCGGTAAAAAGGACTAAAACTACTGGATGTGCATCTTGGTCGACGGATGCCCAGTTTCTTGTTCTAATTGAGCATTTTCATGCTCAATTAAAGAGAAGACGCGGATGCAGAGATGTTTACAAGAATCGAACAAAAGGGCAACTGCGTCTGGGTCAAGTGTGTGTGCTGCTTCGAGACCTACTACTCGTGGCGTCAGGGCTGCGGCCGTCGTGTTTGGTGGATTGCTGTGCATTGAAGAAAGGAGTGGCTAAGCTTTTACCGGACTACCTAGATGAGAATGAAGCGAGCCAACAATGGTTTGATTAAAAGCAGGTCCGTGCAGTGACGCTAGATAACAACGTCTTTTACGCGAACGTGAACGCTTTCGTGCGCGAGAAAATAGTGAAGCTGGCGTTTGGATCTTATGATACCATGTATGTGGATGTCAGTGCAAGCTTGTCTTTTCCCAGCCTTATTTGCAGCAGCTCAGAAAGAGGCGACGAGGTTAAAAGCGTTCGCAGACTGGACCGCGTCAGCCTGCAAACGCCTCCTCTCGTCGACGTACTCTCAAGTGCTAGAGTTTGAGAGACCGTCGGCGCTCAATGCAGCAGCACTAGCTGGTATAATGCTGTGCTACCCGTTTGTGTATGACATCTTGGAAGACGACAACAACGTCATAATTGATGATAAGTGGGCCGAGCAGAAGAACAGCCTTGCAATGTGTCCGCTTTGGCTCTTTCAGATTAAAGCTGTCGTGTATGTCGTCAGCTTCTGTGCTCCTTGTGTTCTCTTTGTTCTATTCTGATATTGTTGGTATATTTATTATCCATTTCCTTGCATACAGACTCAGCAAGCAGATAGAAATGGCGCTGCAAGAGTTTTCTGTGCCGCAACATTTGCTCGACAATGGCACCACTCTGTCATAGAGGATGAAGCAGAAACTCGTCATGTTTTGCCGCTTGTGACCATCCTTCAGGCTCATATCAACTGAGAATGCGCATGCAATCGAACGAAATTGTTTGATATCATCTGGCGTCCGACCTCAAGCCGATGTTGGCAACCGAATGCTGCACCGCGTTGCACTGTAGGTCTTAGCTCCGTTCAATCAGGGTTTTGGCGACACCATCACAATCCACTCCAGTGCTTTTCTACTTCAAGCAATTTGGCTTGTTTATAAAGTCTTGAGAAGACTTAGGTCATCTCCGCTCAAGTACAAGCACGAGTTTTCGGCCTGGCTGAAGACTCACGCTGTTGTCTTTTCTGGCGCAGTAGAGTTCGCCAGACGCTTGGAAATTACAACGTCGATGAGGTGCATCTTCGAGCAACGCTTGGATGGGGGAGATGTGGCTACAAGTCATTGCGTAAGTCATTCGACGAGTTCAAATTGAAGATGACAAGCAGGCGACGACAGCTTTTTTTCGGCGATGTGCGTGCAAGCATATGAAGCTGTGAATTGGCAGGAAAAAGGTGGTTTCACGTCACTAAAAATCCGGCGTGTGCAGCTTCTGGTAGTTTTGTCGATACTAAAGCCCTCGAGGAAGCCACGTTCATGTTAAGTGAGACTTTTTGACCTTGCCGGAGCAGAAGCTCGTAAAACCTACGACCACAATAGAGACATGCATTGTAAAGAATAAAGGCCTCATGAATTGAGGATCACGAAGGTCTTTGCACCAACGAAGACTACGAGTACATGGGCTAGCGGTCTGTGTCCATCCTTCAAGACCGACAACATTAGAGCCATCAAAACATTAGATAATAGACGACAAGAGCTTACAACGCTGCGATAAGCAACGGAAACCATTTGTTCCGTCGTTCGCGCGCATTCAAGCACTCGTGTATTTTCTCCAATATCCCGACGACAATCTGTTAGTCTCTTGACATTGATCAAGTATCAGTTTCCTTGCTGTCGCGACATTAACTTGCCACAACCCATGACATCGGACTGGTTTGATGCACTTGGACCGATTGACGACCTGGTGTATCGACCTCGTCGAGTAGCAGATTTCATTGGTATTGAATTATCACTAAATAAAGAGATCCTCAACAAAGTGCTTTCAAAACTTCAACTTGTCTTTCTTGGTCAACGACGCGCTAGTGCATTTTTGTCAAGATGACGACATGTCGTTGGTGGAATGCACTAGCAAGAATATCATCTTACGTAGGAGATCATAAATACAAGTCAAGTGCGCCGTTGCGCACTATTTTCCGACGTGAAAAGAGTTGTCTTTACTCTTGTCATTTTGAGCAGCCAAGTCTGAAACGTTCGGACAGCATCCCATCAAGTTGCAGTCCAATCTCACGAGCCCTTAAAATTTGGAGGTCAGCATGTCGCTTTGCAGGTTGTTGTACGCTTGCGGTACCCTGTCTATCCAGCAGTTTATGTTGTTGGACTTTCGATGTGACGCGCAAATCTGCCTGTCATCTCATAAACAGGCAGCAACAGTTCCTATGTCCTATTAGGCCGTCTCGTCTCCTATATTTTCAGCTGACCTCTTGTCTTTTGGTCGCAGCTATTTGTTTCAGCGAGCAATACTAGCCTCTAGTATTTTCTTCTTAGTACAGCCATGTTGCACTGTTTATTCACTAAGCATACTTTTGTTGCAACACGATGGTGTTTGATGCTACGTGTTGAGCAGACCAGACTAATGAACTGATCGGAGGCAACCAGATCTAGGTTTTGTCTAATGAACTGATCGGAGGCAACCAGATCTAGGTTTTGTCCAATGAACTGATCGGAGGCGACCAAATCTAGGTTTTGTCCAATGAACTGATCGGCACAACAGTGTCACCTCCCTTGTATGGGATTTTTGCTCCACTACCACTGATCTACTTCAAACATACGATAAAGTACTGTATATTTTTCAAGTATATTCTTAAGTGGTTTTCATTTTGCATTCCAAAATATTATCCTCACTACACAGTTTGAAACGCATCTGCTACACAATGATGCGTCTTCCGTCCGCTCTCATGTATGGGACTCTTGCAGCATGTCTACTGCGTCATGGTTCTCATGCAAGGTCATTTGATTCCATCATCCCAGCTCCGTTGCCCCTCGCTGCCCCGCCATTCCCCGCAAATCAATCTGAAGTCTCTACCACGAGGCATTCAGAAGAAAATGAGGTCTCACACGACGAAAAAGAAGAGAGGGGGTTTCCTGCTCGGTTTGGAATTCCCGAAGCATTGGAAACTAATGGCGCTCACGGTGCGGATGAACTATCAGTGGAAGAAACGGACAAGGTGCTTGAGGTGTTACAACCCATCGCGCAAAATTTCTTTGTAAAGCAACCTGATCAATTGAAAGATGTAGAGGACTGGGAAGAATTCATATTGGGCGTCGAATTGGCATCCTCTAGCAGCCAAACCACATTCTCTGAGAAGCTTGCAGCTAAGTGCAGCTACAATGAGCTGCTCCAGATTATTGCAGCTGGGAAGGAGCTTCGTCCTACTGACACGAGGGCTCATGCTGTTGAAAAAGAGCTTCGTGTTACTGGCACGAGGGATCATGCTGCTGAAAAAGAGCTTCGTGTTACTGGGAAGAGGGCTCATGCTGCTGAAAAGACGGTCGATGATGTTAAAAATAAAGTTCGTAGTCTGGAGTTGTGGTTAAAGAAAAATTATCCCACAAATAAGTTGAAGCAACTTGTGCGCACCAGAACGGAAAAATTCTTTCGCGCACAAGAAGATAAGGCTAATTGGATCGAGTTTTCTTCTTACGTGAAAGCCTACAACAAGCAAATCTTTGGTGGTTTAGTTACGACGACCGCTGAAACTATCATGAAGTTTTACAAAGACGAATTAATGGTCAAATGGATCTCTGAGTTCTTCGAACCGATTACGGAAAAAGATCTAGCAAGAAACCAATTGAATGAGCTGTATTCAAGGCAACAGAAATGGCTGAAATTGAAAAAGCATCCTGACGACGTCTTCAGCGAGGTGGGACTTGCTGAGCCACTGTGGACGATGTTTGAATTAAAAACAATGGGTTATAAACTACGCAAGTGGAGGCGGAATACCAACGATTTTATCGAGAAGTATCCCAAGATGCCCGCAACTGTTCGCGCATATTTTCCGTACGAGGATAAACAATTGCTCAAGATGTTGTTTTATGAAAGTAGTGAGCGTCTATACAGCAATGTTTTAATAACACAAGTGCTAGAGGAGGTGACCGAGGCATTGCACAAGACCAATCCAGATCTATTCGAACTTTACGAACTATTTTGTCTTGACACGGGCGAAATCGAAGTTTTTTCGAGCCGTAGAATGATGAATTGGCTACAATTCGCAAAAGACTGCAAACCACCCGTATCGCCGATACCGGTGTTGCTTAAGAAAAATGGTTTTGGGGAAAAAGATTATGATAAGCTTAAAAATTTGGTTAGTGAAGCACGTGGAAGTATAGTCACGGATGAGATTCAAAGGCTTTTACAAATCGAGTCCGAGAAAGCAAAAAAGAATTCAATCGGAAGATGCGCATGCTTGGCGAATACTTCGTCTAGGCGCCGATCGTCCTGTGCACGAGCAAGTCCCTTCGACATGCCGCAAACTTTGGTAGATGAAAAGTAGATTTTTTGAAATCTAATGTCCATAATAGTTGCTTCATTCGTTTCGCCATACAGTCAGCGTACATTGTCATTTGCAGGTCACCTAAATTATAGTATGCAGTACCTCTTTAAGAACCTGCTCAAGCACGCGATAAAGATTCAGTAGAAGCTTCAGTCGGTGAAAAGTAAGTAAAGGCTTCTGCTTGTTTGCAAACCAAACAGCTATCTTTAACGTTGCCAATAGGAGCAACCTGGCATCATGAATATTAATCAAAGAATGTAGTATATATGTAACAATGCAAACATGTAAGATAGTGTAGCACTTTCCACTTGATGATTCATCTGCATGCGCCGTCAAAGACTCAGCAGGAAAAGCCGTCTTGTTTGGCAATCCGTACGTTTTTCTTCACCCCGTTATGCTAAGAACAAATGTTGGAACAAGGGTCAGTTTTCGAGAACGCAACTCTTCTGTTATCCTGTGCAAATTATCACAGAGCCAGAAGTGCGGCTCTGAAGGTTTTGGAACAAGTTGCTGATTCGTCATCACAATCGCCGATTCGTGAGTTAAGTATTCTTTTCAGGAGCACGAATTACTCTGGTATATTGCTATCAAGCCAAAGCCAAGCACGAGCGGTGGCTTGCTGTTTTGAGCTTACATAAACCGCGGCGACTGAGGTGATCACACACGAACAGTAATGTTCGCTCTGATCAGAATTTTTTTGTCAGGTTCGAAGGGAGATTTAGAGCAGACTAAAGTCATGTCAATTCGGAACTAAGTCAGCCTAGGGTCTCAAGAAGTTGAAAGCCTTCGTCGGCACGGATCCCGTATTTGGTGATATCTCCAAAATAACAAATTATCATCACGAAGGATCTGAACGACGGTCTTCTCCGCCTACTACAGTCTCATCTGGGGTTAAAATGAGCAGCATTTGTCGTTTGGACTGACCTTTTCCTGTACATAAGTTTCCTTCACTAGCGCGACCCAATTGGCGTCTTAGTTATGTCGTGTCATGTAGTAGTAATGCGACTTCTTTTATCTGGCATACGACCTATGTGCACGTTGATTGGCAGCTCCATTGAAGATTCGTTTATGTCTCGTATACCTCGTTGAACCTATGACGTAGCACACAATAATTAATGTGAATAAACAAACAACGTTTCACCGTTCTTGTCAAATGTAACAAGCGTGATCAAGGGCACGTTGGTTTCCACAAAGCGTCAACATGATTCTACGTGTACGTGGCTCTCTCCAAGCTCTCATAGATTATTTAGCTTACCATGTAAAGAAACGTTTGAAGAAGTTTTCTCACACGAGTGTCAATTGCTCAGTTGAAACTCGATGATCTGTCTATGCAGCCAACACAGGGGAATTACAGTCGCATGGCTTGCGTTCAAGGTATGTTACTGTTATATCGCACCTTATAACGTGGGTGCGCCAATATTTAATTGTTACGGAAGCAAGTACTATGGTAAGATTCGTGCAAAATAATGTTGGGTCAAAGCATGCGCTTCCTAGACGCATTGCTCCAGTTATGTATACAGCTACC